GGGTAGCACAGAGGTAAAGAACACTGGGTGCTCTTGCAGGGGACCTAGGTTGGGTGGCCTTCTATAACTCCAGTGCCACAGGATCTGACAACCTCTTCTGACCTCAGCAGGCATCTGGCTCTTCCACAGAGAAGAGAAACACAAACAAACACACACATAAAAGTAAAACAACAAATATTTTTTTTAAAAAAAATAAGGAATTGTAGCCTTTGGCAGAGACATATTTTCAAAGGTCCAGTTAGAATTATGTGTGTGATGGTGAACAATAGGCAAAAACTATCTCCACAGCTGAATGACATAACTTTGAAATTATAAGGAGAACAATTACTTTTACATTTGCATTTTCTTTTCTTTTCTTCCTTCCTTCCTTTATTTCTTTCTCTCTTTTTTTGTGAGACAGGGTTTCACTGTGTAACCATGGATATACTGGAACTCACTCTGTAGACCAGGCTGGCTTTAGACTCACAGAGATCAACCTGCCTCTGCCTCCTGAGTACAGAGATTAAAGGCATGTGTGACCATCGCCTGACTACATTTTCTAATCAGAAATTCCACATCAAAGATCAGACTTATTGTAGTGAAATTAGTAACAATTATACTGTTCAAGTAATATAAAAGTTCTTTCCTACCCAGAAATAATAGACTAAGTGGCTTCACCATTGGTGATCTTAGCACAAAGGAAAAGTTAAGCTTGTCCTGAAATATGGGCTGAAGAGGAAAAGTCAATGAATTAAAAATAGATCAAGGCTAGAATATGTCTCAGTTGGTAGAGTGCTTGTCCTGTATGCATCACAGCATTGGAAAAAAAAAAACTCAATTTCTCTTCCTCCCCTTTCATATCTGAAAATATACCCCATATGAGTCAATAAGAGCATATACAAAGTCAAAGATTGCATCTATCCAAATCAATGATAAGTAAAGAACATTCTCAAACCTGACCACAGAGATCCAATAAAAAAAGATGAATGTGTTACTATATGTCTATAATCGCAACTATTCAGAAGGTTGTAGCAGGAGTAAACCACTTCAGGTCCAGGCCTCAGTACATAGTAATGCCTTGTCAAACATTCCTGACTAAGTAAACACAAACAAATGAACAAAAAAAAACAAACAAAAAAAGCAACTAAAATATAGCATATGAGCACATACAAAACCTATAAAGCATCAGAAACACTGAGAAAAGAAACCTGAAAATTAAAATACTGAAGGACGGTGGATATTTATTTATTTATTTGTGTGTTTGTTTGTTTGTTTATTTACTTATGGGGTTTTTTGAGACAGAGTTTCTCTGTGTAGCTTTTGGAGCCTGTCCTGGAACTCACTCTGTAGGCCAGGCTGGCCTTGAACTCACAGAGATTCACCTGCCTCTGCCTCCTGAGTGCTGGGATTAAAGGCATGCATCACCACCACCCAGCCAGGAAGGTGGATCTGAACTGGAGTTATGTGAGTGCTGGACAGAAATTCATTTGGGCTAGACCATCACTGACTAGGTCAAAATTTTCCACCAATATGTCAGTGGTTGGTGTTAAAATCCTGGGCAGTAATCATGCTACAGACCAGGCAGATAATGGTCAACTAGCCAGCAGACTATGAAGGAAAGCTCTGGACTGTCTAGTTGAAAGACAGCATGAAAATAAATGCACATTCTCTGTTCACAAACATTATTTCTTTCCGTTGGAATTAACGAAGCCTATATGGCCAACAGTTTGATTATACACAAATGGATTGTATTGATCCACAGCTTATATTCCCCTTGAATAAAGGATGTACTTGCCTGAGTTGGTGAAAGTGCCACTAAAAAGTAGGTTCTAGATACAGAGAACTGCCTTACCCAAGGACACACACTTTCCCAGTGGCCTATACCCAACAGCCAACTCAGGCAGTAATATTAAAGCATAATAAAAATCTTGACCAATTGGGCAATTGAGAGTACAAGACATGCTAGGAGTACATTACAAATTGACTTTTCTTACCGTGCCATTTCATTACTGAGTATTAGAGCTCCTAGAAGAGTCTAAACTATGGCAACATTGAAAAAATAATGATAATGAAAAAAAGGAGAACATTAGATGTGAGATACCTATTACCTATTATGAAGAGATATTAAGTAGATACTATGTAAGTATGGAGCACAAATAAAAGGGGACTGCATGCTAAAATAAAAGAGTTGAACAAAATCTGGACTTTTCCAGTATTATTAGATAATTTGTTCAGAACACAACCAAAGAATTAAGAAAATAACAAATTAGAAAAATAAAATCCTAAAAACAATACCAAAATGAATACATATCTGAATATTTCTTGTTTGTTTAATAAGAAAATGCTAAAGACTCAAATTTAAAAATTCATGCCTCAGACACAGAAGTGAGCTCAGAAAGATCCTAGGTACATGTTAATAGAAACAACTCACACATTTATTACTAACAATATGGTAAGACAAAAATTTAAAACACAGTATCATTTCAAATTACTCAAACCTGGAAATGATTTATATGTCCTTGATTAGCTCTATATGTGTATGACTCGAAAGCAGCAATATCATAGAATAATGCTCAGTGGAAATGTTGTATGCACACAACTCCAAGGGTAAATCTCCTGGTATAATCAGATACTAAGTTTCCACCTATATAACATTTTTGGAATGCAATATATATAAAGAGAATGGACTAGCAATTGCAAAAGATTAAGGGAGTATGCTAAAGAACAGCATGAGGAGCTTAGTAGTAATGGACATGTCCTGACTCTTTACTATCTTAATTTCCCTGCATGCTTGGTCTTTTTAAAATCCTTGTCAACATATATGTTTAGATATTGTACTATAGTTAGGAGAGGTATTACCATTTGAGGAATCTATGCAAAGTGTATGACGATCTTTCTGGATTATTTATTACAAATATGTGTAGACTTAAATATAGTTTTAAAAAGCCAAGTGTCATGCATGGAACAGGCTATTAATTCTGGCACTCAGGAATTAGAGGCAGGTAGATTTCGGTGAGTTTTGAGGCCCTCCTAGTCTTTACAAGTGAGTTCTAAGACAGGATACATAAGACACTGTCTCAAAAGTAGTTATATATCTGGCTCTTTTATGAAACATGTTATATTAAGGGGTCGAGTATATAGGTACCATTGTAGCAAACCAAGAATACAGTATGGGACCAGAGCTGAGGTGGAATTTGCACAGGTAAAGAAAAAGTTATAATGTTGGCATATATCAAGTTCTATAATTAACAGGGCTTGCTAATGTAATAAAAGAATCAAAGGGACTCCAAGATTTGGCTTAGTCTTCTTATAGAACTGACTAGAAGGATTTTAAAAAGACCAAGCATGCAGGGAAATTAAGATACACTAGAGTGGAACTGTCTATTAGTAAAATTGAATTATTAAGTATAAAGCAGAATGTATAATCATGATAACAGTATGGAGAAAGAGCTGTCAAAATTCCCAGCATATAGATGGCAGTTAACATCAGAAACTAAAAAGTGACTTGAGAGAAGAACACTAACAGAAAAGGAAAAGAAATGGATTTTAACCCAAGACAGAGGAGGAGCACATAAGAGATGATCCTCCTGAAAGAAGAACCAATGAAATGGCACTGGGAAGCTTTAGAAGAGGAAGCAATTGCCATTAGAATGACCTGGTCAGTTTTGTCAAATCCCTGAATGGCAAAGTCCAATAACCATGGTAATGTAACTAAAGAATATCATATCAAGGAAGTCAATGGTGAAATTGATCAGGGTTATCTCAGATGTATTAATAAAAAGATTCTAGGAAATAGTAAGGAAAGAAACAGATACATTAACTTAACCTTTGATATTATCAGAAAAGTTTGCTAGATTTGTATGGTAATCACTGGAAGGGCAGAGCTTTGTTAGAGGAAGCACAGATCTGAGACACTAGAACATTCACATATATTAACAGGAATAATATATCACAAATTGTTAGTGATAGGGGAAGGAAGGAGGTTAGAATTATAGAGATAATGCCTTGAAAAATAAGGAGGATAGAGTCCAGAAACTATTATGAGAATTTGTTGATTATGTGGGACGAGGCATATCATTTGAAATGATGCTGGTGCAGGTTGAGAGGGAATCTGGTGGTAGGCAGATGGGTCACTTCCTGTTGGCAGCTTTTCTCTCTGAATTATAACAAAAATCAGTCAGATAGATCTTTGTTCAATCTTGATTCTCCAAGTTCCTTAACTCTCTTAATTGTGTGATATGATCTTTGTTGTTTTTAGGACTTTGTATCCTCTAACTCTTTCCATACTCAACCTACTCCAGGCCACACAAACTCTCAAAACAGTGTTTTTCTGTCTCAGATCTATGATTTTCTGTTCTCTAGAAATGTGATGTTATTTGGAGAGATATGTCTATAGCTTGTGTTATGGAAAGATCAAGAACATAGTCCACATGTGGACAACTCCAGTTCTTCATCTTTTAAACACTTGACTTAAAAACAGCATCACAAAAGAGAATGAATATGCAGAAGTAGCATAGTCACTTCAGCAAACTCTTGGGTTTCTCCTTGAAAACTGCTGGTGTCTGTGATGAATGGTCCTGTCTTCTAATAGCATTTTTTTCCACTTTGTCTAATATAGAATCAAATGTGACAAAGAGGAACTTTGGGAAGTGGTACATTGTGGTACTGAATAGAGAATGATGTTGTAACCTCTTCTGGCAGTGCAGGGATAAGTGGACTCTTCACAGTTCCCAAAGTCACCTCAATCAAGTAGCCAAAAGATGTTACATTATGCAGAAATTAGCATCTGTGGAGTGCTCTGCCCTAAATGGGGCATGTATATCACACCTCCTTCACTCAGGCTCAAGAAACATGAAAAAAAAAGAGGGTATAGAAAGATTCTAAGAGCCAGAGGTGAGAGAGAACTATAAAAAATAGTGGCTTCCAGACATTATATGGTTGTTATACTGATGAACTGAACTCATTGCAACTGTGGTAACCCCTGGTCAATGTCACTCAGAATTCAAACACAGATTGAGGAGAGACACAGGAGCTCCCACCCTTAGCTGTCAAGTTACTGACAGGCAATGGCTGTGAGAAGAGGAAGAATCACATTTTTATAGGACTGTAGAGACTGGTAGGCTACCCATCCTCCAGTGGAGGGCCCTACAGTCATTCACATAGAGGAAGCACTAAAAATACACAAGTGCCTATAAACATTGAGCAGTGTGAAGTTGAGAGAGAGAGATGGAAGATCCATCGGGAGCTGGAGGCTGACAGTGGTAGATGGATGAATTAAATACATTGTGTGCATGTGAAATTACTATTTTTTTAAAAAAAAACAGTCCTTTCATGATCAACTTTTGTAATCCTTATACTTATTTTTTTACTCATCATGAATACCCATCCATAAATAATTGTGTGCAAGTGTGTGTGTGTGTGTGTGTGTGTGTGTGTGTGTGTGTGTGTGCATGTATGCTTGTGCATACACATGTAGAAGCCCAAGTTCAATGGTAGGTGTCTTTGTTGATTACTCTTCAACTTATGTTTTAAGAAAGGTTCTCTTGTTGAGCCTGAATCTTTCCAAGGTACACTGGCTCATCAGCAAGACCCAGGGATGAACCTGTCTCTACTCCCAAACACTGGAATTACAAGGATGCACTACAAAGACCAGCTTATTTGTGTGGGTGTTGAGGATCCAACAAAGACTTTTATGCTTCTAAGGCAAGCACTTTACTGATAAAGTCACTGCCCAAGCCTCCTACAACATGTTTATTAAATACTAAATTACATTCTCTATCATCACAATTTCTTGAAAGAAAATACTTTCTTTTGTTTGTTGTTGTTATCCCAGAATACAAAGTAGTGCCTAGCATATAGTCATGATCAATACAATTTGGTTAAATGGATGAATAGAAGGGATTTCTTTTTCAATAAATAGAGTTAACTATCTCTACTTCTCCATGAACTCATTTAAGAATTGAGCAAATAATTGCATGTTTAAAAGTAACTACCACCACTTTAAGCACACATAGGTATCCAAAATAATAGTAGTTAATTTATACCTGAAAATAGAAGTATTACTGTGGAAAATTCCTTTACACTGTGTGAATGTTTGCCACTATGATTGGTTTAATAAACAATCTGGCTGGCCAATAGCTGAACAGGATAAAATTAGGCAGGAAAGCCAAACCGAAAATGATGGGATGAGAAAGGGCAGAGTCAGGACTCACCAGCCAGACGCAGAGTGAGCAGGAGATGAACATGCCATGCTAATAAAGGTATTGCCACATGGCAGAGTATGAATAAGGAATATGAATTAAACTTAAATTTATAAATAAGAGCTAGTTATTAATAAGCCTGAGCTATTGGCTGAACATTTACAATTAATATAAGCCTCTGTGTAATAATTTGGATGTGGCTCCTGGGATGAAAAAATTCCACCTACAAAATATCATGAGGAGGATCTCACTGATAATATATCATTAAGACAATAAAGATATGTTTTCAATTCTAGGCATGATTTGGACTCATGAACTGAATTACCTTTGTTATCCATTTGAACCCACTACATAGTATCTGGTTCCATATTAAAAGCATAAGATAGAAACCTTGTCATTTAATGCACACAAAAGCTATTAGAACACCAGAGTCATACTCATAGACATAAAGTTGAATCTCTTTTAATGGATCACTATGTATGATGCTGAAGGAGCCATATCCATCAGAAGATCTTGTCAAAGCCTGTGAAGATTTCCCAATATTACAGTAATTTTTAGACATTCTACTGATTCTGATGGCCAAAGTCATGACTGGTAATATGTGATTTATTATTGTATTAGTTAATATAGGTTGGCATTTTACTTCCACACACTTCTTTGCTTAGAAGATCTGCTATTGGATCAAGAGAAGATAAACCGTGCCCTACTATATAATGCAAGGTAGAAAGAAGAAAACTTACATTATTCAGTAAGTCCACTGATGGTTGTTCCTGGAAAAAAAGAATCAAGTCCAGCCAGATGCCCATATGTTATCCCAAGAAGTCCTTAATGTGTTTTATGAATAAAATTTAAGGTTCTAACCACTTAGTGACCTTATTTTGAAGAAAAAAACTGGAAGTAACTTCATAATTTTGAATTTATGTGTTGTGTGACAAAATAATAGATTTTTTTTTTTTGGTTTTTCGAGACAGGGTTTCTCTGTGTAGCTTTGCGCCTTTCCTGGAACTCGCTTTGGAGATCAGGCTGGCCTCGAACTCACAGAGATCCACCTGGCTCTGCCTCCCAAGTGCTGGGATTAAAGGCGTGCGCCACCACCGCCCGGCCAAAATAGTAGATTTTAAACAGACTGCTAACATTTGTGTAATGAATGGGGAAGTTAGCAGGAAGTACTAAAGGGGACTGGATTATAATTGAATGGAAGAGAATAGAAAGAGACGAGAAAAAGGGATGCCATTCGAAGTGCTAATTGCCTTCATACACCATAAGCTGGCTTTTTTTTTAAATGTACAGTTTCTTCAGTTCAGATGGGCACAAAGAATATCAGGACCCAGGAATCACTCCATGACCTTCTCCATTCAGTCCTTCAAGAGTGAAGCTAAAGGACTCATATTTTAATTGATCTACAGTTTGTGTTTGCATTGCTCAGTCATGATCGACAAACATTGGGTTAATTTTCCTGGGTTACTTCTCTTCTCTGATATTGATTCTCTAGTATACCATCAGTTATTGATTTATCACATATACCATAGCTTCCCTAGGGAATCCTTGGTAAGATTCTGTTGGAGGTAAAGCACTGTTTATGCATCAGTCTTCAACCCAGAAATCTCCCTTACTATGTGTGCTTAATTATTGCAAAGCCCAAGATACACCTGGTAGAAAACAGAGAAGCCCCAAATAAATGTTCCCATACAGAAGGGATGTTTGGCAAATAGATGAACCAGTGAACTGCTCAAGGGTGGCTCCAGAAAGCAGAAGGTACCAGACAAATCAAGTGATCCTCTCAATCTTCAATGACTCCAGATTGTACAGAAAAGTATTTTATCCAATCTCATGATTTCTTCACATGTACAAAATCAAAATGCTTGGCATTAGAATAGATATGAACGGGACTGGGGAGGTGGCTCTTATAGTTTAGATCATCAGCATCCATCAAAAAGCCAATTATGCTACACACCTGTCTGTAACTAGCACAGGGACGGCAAAGACAGGAGGATTTTGGGGCCTCCCTTCACCCACACTAGCTCCAGGTTCACTGAAAGACAACAGGCAAACCATAGTTCTCCTCTGAACAGCCAAGTGCATACACAAACACACATGCATGCACAATACAAACTCACACACACATGCACATATGCACACACACACACCACCACTACCACTACCACCACTACCACCACCACCACCACCACCACCACTACCACCACCAAAAAAATAGGAACAAAAGTTAAGGTTGGATGTTGCTTTTCAAGGAGAAGTATAGGATTCATACATAAATTTGAATTTCAGATAATGAATAATTTTAGTTTAAATATGCCTTCATGTGATATATGGGACAATCTTTGTACTAAACATTTTTATTTTCTAAACCTGACAAACTCATCTAACTGGATAATCAAAATAATGAAGGGAAAAGTACTTCTAATTTGTCCATCCAGTAATCTCACCAGCAGGGAAATAATAGCATGGTTTAGCAAAGAAAATTAAACCAAGAATAGATAAAGGCCTTCAATAGTGAATGCTTGACTTCAGTTTCTTCACCTGAGAAACAAAAGAATTAAACTAGATCATTCCTTACAACTTTCTTTACAGGCTGGCATTTTATGTCCTTTTGTAAAAGGGTCCATCCATACTTCCTAGACATGTTTAAGATGTTTGTGTCTTATTCTAGATCTCTTGGTGCGGATGTTGTCTATACTTGTAATTTGTCAATATCTCTCACAGTAATTGGTAGAAAACAACTATGCATAATACCTATCCCACTTCAAACAATAATGTAGATAGGGACTTTTCTTCATCAAGTTTTCAGGCTACATGTGACCTGAGAGAAGACAATACAAAAGCGTTTGAACCTTTTTCCTTTATTAGCATGACTATTGCAGTATCTTCCTTTTTCAAATAAAAACATCCTAGCCTTGTGACAGATTATTAAACTGTGCTCCTTTTATCTCTCTTTTGTTCCAAAACAGGTGTTAGCTGAGTCTTATTATTATTATCTTGGAGTGAAAATTGCATATCAGTTCCCATCCTATTAGGAAACTAAGTTAATGAGGAGAGAAAGGTGTCACATTGCCTGGATTCATTTTCACTCCATCCTTAGAGAGAAGGATGCTAGATCTTTGGTCCACAGTCATTGGAATTTCTCTCACTAAAACAATTCCATTATCTAAGAAGCCATATGATCTGCAATTCCAGTCTGTACTAATTGATTTTTCCTCCATACATCTGATGACAATGGGAGAGGTTTTATTCAACTAACGTCGATTTCATTGTCAAGTCCTCACTGTAGGCCGAACTCCATGCTGTCAGTCAGTTCCTTCATTCCACATGAGGAGCTCTGTTCTCTAACTCTTTCCTATTAATTAATCACTATCTTTATACATGTAATAAATAGCATGACTGCCAGCTAAAAGACAAGCATGTTAGTGCTAAAATACAGGGGTTTTTCCCACTGAAAACCACTTCAGACAGCATAAATATCAGCCTCAGTGTGATGTTTTGCCATATAAATAACAGAAATTGTCTTAACTGGTTATTTTCAAGCACTGGTTTAAAAGAAGCCAGGGAAACTGAAACCTTTTGACAAGATTTTAAGGCGAGATTCTGTGCAAAATGTCATAATTATAAGCACCTGTTAATTACCATCTTATCTACATTTGTCATGAATTATAATTGTTCAGCTCAATTGAAGGGATTTTTTTTATATCTAAGAGGAGGCAATTTTTAATGATCATCTCAAGTTTGACAAGATGTAAGCTGCATTCATTTTATTACATTTTTATGTAAATTATTTTTATTAGTTCTTTGAAGATTTTATACATTTTTAATCATAGTC